ATATTAATTGAGAAACATTTTTAAAAAATAAACTTTACTTTCACATGTGATTAACGAAAATGACATGCTGACATGTCACGTTTACAGAGCTTCTCAACCCATTTAATTAATTGTCCATCCTTTACTAAAATTTTTACTTCAATTTGCCATTAGTATTACAAACACTTATTTTACTCATTAATTAATCCAAAATTTAATTTAAAAAATGCTCTTAACGTAGAAAGACACTTAACATGTTCTTATTTCAATCAATTAATTAAAATAAATTATATTTAACATATGCAATTAAGAGTTACTAATCTTCACAAGATGAAACACCTAACATTTTGTGTATCAATTAACATTATAACTATACATGTTTTTATTATATATACGTTACAATTATCTCTTATCTTATAGAATCCATTATGACTTTCAGTTCATATATAATCAAAGGCATTCCGTTTAACATAAAATAATTGTCAATGCATATTCCACTATATCATACGAAATTAATGTTTTAATCTTATTTAATGTTACAAATTTTTCCAATATTAACTTTTTAATAATCTTTATCTTTATATGAATCAAAATTTTGTGTAAAAATATACATGTTATACCACAATCTACTACTCTTTCCGCCCACCCAAAATTTGAAATCTATATCATATACATGAAATTAAATATGAATTATCATTAAGATCCTTTAAACCAATTGTATATGTAAATTCTTAATTAAGTTTTGTAGTTTTTAATATTCCTCCATTTATGGAAAATCTAAACAAAGTTACTAACTGAAATGAATTTAATGGTATACAATAAAAATTTTCTATAGGCGATAATCTAAGAAGTATAATCTCGACATATGTGCACATTTATTAGAATTTTTATGAGTATATCCTGTAAGAATATCCTCATTAATTTAACAACCAAAATATATTTAAAAAGATGAATATTGAATATCTCTTTTAAATTTGTAATCGATTTAAAAAGATGAAATCCACTATACTATATTCAAAATTTGGAATCTAACAATATTTGATAATTGATCGGTAATTTAAATTCTTCCACTGATTATGGTATTTGCTAATTATAACTAAGTTAATAACCGAATTTGTAATTACCTCAAAACGTGTATATGGACTTATATAATTTTACCATGTTCTATTATATAAATTTTACCTCACAAAAACATATTGAGATATATAAATTGACTTATCCAAAAAAAATCCTAACAAAAGATACATAACCATTAAAAAAATTTAATTTAGAAATATACATGTAAAAGAATAAATTTTGAATACTTAATATGAAATATCGATTATAATGAAGCATTTTATGATTGAGGTCACGAAACGTAAAATATATAAATTTAATTATTAAAAACATAAAAGACATATTTGCCATAAATAATAATATTTCATCAATACTTTGTCCACCGCATAAAATGTTTTTCCCACGCTTAAGTATTTTACGGGTGAAAAGACATAGTCATAAACAAAATATTTACAAATTTAAATAGAACAACTTATTTTTTAACTTTATGTTCTGTTTTATACAAACGGATCTTGGATTTCAAATAATAATTTTACCTAAAATAATTTTACTTGATTCGTTTCATCCCGCACATAGTGCGGGTTTTTATCTAGTAAATATATAAATGGTATGTTTAACTATAGAGTAAACAATAAAAAAAAACTCATGAGATCGTGACACGTGTTAGATTTTTCGATATGAAATTTTGACATGTGTCAAATAAAATTTTCCTTTAAAAAAAAAAGAAAGTAAAAAGATAATTATAAATTTAAACAGTTTTAAAATGTAAAAAGCTAATAATAAGAAATTGTACATATATTTCCATAAGAGTTTTTGCCATCTAGCAAACAAAAATTTTGTTTTTAAGAGATAATTATAACAAAATTATAAAGGTAAACAGTTTAAAAAATATAAAAAGATTATAATAAGAAAACTATACATATATATAAGAAATTTATATGTATATTTCCATAAAATTAAAATTAGAAAATTATGCTAAACGTTTTATTTATAAGTTACTAACTGTACAAGAAAAAGATTTAAAATTAGAAAAAAATTAAGAAAATTGCACAATCAGTTATTAATCCTATAAGAAAAAGATAGTAAATAGTCACATTTATATATACAAATAGATTGTCTCATATGTTCTCATCAGGCAAACTAATTTCTTAACGATGTTATATCATATCAATTATAAAAAAATATTTCGAATCACGATGTTTTTCTAAAAATAGCATGTGATATTCAGATCTAATGAATATATGGTAATTGAGGCAAATTAATAATTATGAACGGCGATAGACATAAACTAGAGTTATTGTCAGAGAGACTTGGTCTAATGTCGGAGGAGATAAAGAAGGTGGAGTAATAAGAGAAGTTGGAAAAAGAGGATAAGAGGTGGTAATAGTGGTGTTGATGCTGGTGGTGGCGGCGGTAAATATTGATAAAAGTGGTGACTCGTAATTAGCGAGATTCAGTATTGATGGTGCTGGTGATTGTGATAGTAGTGAGATTCAATTGTGGTGGTAGGTCAGAGTAGTGAGTTTTGATAGTGATGCCCGACGAATCCGAGAAATAGAGATACGGGAAAAAATAAATAAATATATGGTGGTGAAGAAATCCGACAGAGGGAGAGAAGAAGAAATAAAGAGGAGTTCGAGCAAAAAGAAGAGAAATCTAATGAGAGATATATAGAGATTTGAGAATTAAAAAGAATAAGAAATGAAGAAATTGGTAATATAGGCCTAAAATGACAGAAGCCATGTAGCAAATAGATGATGTTTAGTCTGATATTGTATATTTTCTAATGTTTTATATTGTGTATTATGCTAATAAATCTATATTTAGAAATAATTATGCTGTATTTTCTAAATATATATGTTTATAAAATTTTAGTTAAGCTTATAAAAATAAAATAAAAATATTAAGAATGATAATTGCGATCGGCAACCCGTGCAATGCACAGGTCCATATCTAGTATATATATATATATATATATATATATTTCCTTTAATAAACATCCTATAACGTTACAAGACGATTTATCCATAAGGAACTTGCAAAACTAAAAAAAAACATATAAAAAAGAAAAATATTTTAAAAATTACATTTTAGATTTTCTTATTTATTTTCTCTATACCAAGATCCTATGAACTAGGCCTGGGCATTCGGGTCCGCGTGTCGGGTTCGGGTAAAACCCGATCGGGTTCGGGTATGTCGGGTATGGTAATATAGGACCCAATAGGGTAAACTCGAAACATCGGTTCGGTTTCGGTTCGGGTATGGTCGGGTTCGGGTCGGTTTGGGTATCAGATTTGAGAACCGGTAAAAACCCGAAAATATCGGTTCTTGCTTGTTTCGGGTCGGGTTCGGGTATTTTCTACCCGTTTACACTGTGGAATACATTTTTTACACTGTGGTTCTGTTACACTGTAATTGAATAGAATAAAACCTAAAACATTCAAATACAAATGTCTTAAACATCCAATTCCAATCATCCAAATATAAAGAGTTAAAGTCTTAAAGACATAAAATGCATAGAACATATCCATGAAACACATGATTCAAATCCAAGAAAAAAAAGACAAGTTGACAAGCCTAAAACCCGAAGTAGAAAACTGGAGATGGAAACACATTACACATTCATGAAAACTAGAAGTAGATAATCTCACTTTCCTTGACCAACCCGCATGAACCTATACAAGTAAAACAAATGTCAGAAATCAGAATGCAATCTCACTCTTACATAATCTATGTATCTCACTTAGTTCGGGTATGACTAACCTTTGTAGACCTACTCAAATTCACCAACTCAAATTCAACTTTGCCACTTAAATTAAAAGAAAAAAAAGAAGAAGAAAGATCATGAACATAAAGAAAAAATACCATCACATCTTCACGGTCTCTGTTTTATCATCAACACAAGTAAGAGAAATTCATCATGTACCATAAGAGATACTTGCTTGAACTTGACAGGAGATCTCTTGTACAAAACAAAGCAAAGAAATTCAACAAAGAAGTGGCTTTCTCAACTGTAACCTAGAGACAGAGCTACCAAGTTTCAGGTTTCAATGAAACGGATCATAAGGGCATAAAGGCCGACGGTGGAGAAGTGACCAGAGACGGTGTCGACCATGTGGGGGTCTTCGTTTGAGTTTCCAGGTTTGAATCGGAAATGAAAATTGTGGTAAATTATGATTGATAAAGGAGAGAGTAGAGATCTAGGGTTCTAGAATCGAGCAAAGGGAAGAAGCTAAATAGTCAAAAGGTTAATCGGGTTAGAGACTAAACCTAAGGGCATTTAAGCGGATCGGGTTTTCGGTTTACACTATCGGGTATCGGGTAAAACCCGAACCCGACCCGATACCCACGGGTAAGCAATTATAGAACCCAACAGTGTAAAACTCACATACCCGTACCCGCCCCGAACCGGTTTTTTCGGGTCGGGTCCGGTTCGGGTACTCGGGTACGGGTTTTTTGCCCAGGCCTACTATGAACATTACAAGATAATTTACGTACACACAACAAACCCACAAAGTTAAAACTTTAATTATATTTTTAAAATCAACATTTTAGAAATTCTTTACGCTTGGAATTGAGGTTGTTACATAATCCAAGATTCCAAGTAATTAATAAAAGAAAAAAAAAAAAACGTCAACGTATCTTTATCTTAAAGGGTAATTTGTTGAAGAATATCCCATGTGTACAAAACAACCATATATTTGAAAACAAATCAAAATAAGTAAAACCGGCTACAGTAAGTAATCCTCCAACTAAAACCGCCACCTGTCCAATCCGATCACATGCCAATAGAATAATATAAAGTATTTTTATTTTCAAAAAGTATCCAATAAGATCAAAGGCGGTACTTGATTCAAATATTCCACCAGTAAGAATACAGAGACAGAGCGATAATCCTCTGTGTCACAGTCTATATTAATAATAAAAAATATATATACACAGAGAATTAAAAATCCATTTTTTACAAAGTTTTTTGAAATAGAAGAAGAGTAGCTACCACTCCACTCTTTTCTTCTCTCTCTCTCTATATACATCGCCATTGTTATTGCATTCGAAGCTTTTATAGAAGAAGTAATCTCTCTTTTTTCTCTATTTCTCTGTATTACTTTCTTTTTTTTGGAGGTTTTGTTGATTTTTTTTTGGTGGAGAAAAAGATGGAGAAAAACACACCGGTGAGGAAACCACACATGTCGACGGCGGATCTATTGACTTGGCCGGAGAATCAACCGTTTGAGTCTCCCGCCGCCGTAGCTTCTCGCTCCGCCGCTAGATCGCACCAGGTAACGTACTAATTAATTTCGCGATCTACGGATATTATTAATTTTGTTAATTTGAAATTGGGAGAAACAATCTCAGCCGTTGAATAAAATGTTTAAATTAATTTCGTTTTTGTAAATTTGATTCTTTCTGATTATTCATTTTTGAAATTTGGGGAAATGACCTCAGCCGTTTGATTGATTAATCTAAACTAATTTTTTTTAATTTTGCGATCTACGAATTTGAAATTGGTGGAATTAATCTCAGCCGTCGGATGGAATCAGCAAAGTTGTATTTGGAGGACAAGTTACTGATGAAGAAGTTGAGAGCTTGAACAAGAGGTGAGTCAGAGATCTGACGATTTTATTTTTTATTTACGAATTTTAGAAAATATTAATCAGGTAAAAAAACAAAACGGTACGATAATTAATAAATGCGAAACAACAAATAAAGTACGAAGAATCTGTCAATTTGTTACCAGATGATCCTGTCGTTAGTTTGGACCGACCCTATAGAATGTTTTTTTTTTTTTGTTTGGTAGGAAAGAGTTTAATTGCCATAATTAATGTCCTTAATTATGAAGCATATTTGGTATCTCTTCAATTTAATTTCCCTTTTTGATGATCTTCGTATCGTTCACGCTTCTCTAATTTTGTCTTTTTATTCCTTTTTTGGTAATAATACAGTCTAATTGTGATTTAAAACCCAAAATTTGTTTTCTTTGCCATTTAATTGTTACTTTGATACAGTTTGGGTCAAATTTTGTTGTTAATGTTTTGGTCATGACTTTGATCGTAGGAAGCCTTGTTAATTGATTCAATCTCCAATAAATCTCTGGTTATTTCTGGTTTAGATTGGTTATTGTACTCGGTTTAAGTTCTATCTAGTACACATTTTTACATTTAATGATACCCTTGAGAGAATCTGAAAGTTACTATGACATGTATAAGATAGATTTGGGTAAGTTTTGTTGTTAATGTTTTGGTTATGTAACCCAAAATCCTGTTTTGTAGGAAGCCTTGTTCAAATTACAAGATGAAAGAGATCACAGGGAGTGGAATTTTCTCAGTTTATGAAGAAAATGATGATTCTGAGTTAGGAAGTGCTAATCCGGCGACTAATGGCAAATCAAGAACATTCCAGGTTTGTTTATTTTGTCTATGCTTCTTCTTGAGAGAATTGAATACATTTTGTAGTTTGTTTTGATCACTTTGTGTGTTTGGATTGTTTTAGCAACCACCAGCAGCAATTGTGAGTCACATTTCATTTGGGGAAGAAGAGATTGTTACACCGAAGAAGCCAGCAACGGTGCCAGAAGTGGCGAAGCAACGTGAGCTCAGTGGTACATTGGAGTATCAGTCTGATGCTAAGCTTAATAAGCAATTCTCAGATGCTAAGTGTAAGGAACTAAGTGGTCATAACATCTTTGCACCACCACCTGAGATAAAAGCTCGTCCTACTGTTCGTGCTTTGGCTTATAAAGACAACTTCGACTTGGGAGAATCCGATACCAAACCCGTAAAACGCCTCTCTAAACTTCTACTTACTCATATTAGAATGTCTCTACTCATTATTGTCAATCACACCAATGTACTAATTCTTGCAGGATGGGGAACTGAAGACGGCCAAAAAGATTCCGGATAGGAAATTCATGGATTTGTCGGGAAACAACGTATTCAAAGGCGATGCTACGTCTCCCTCTTCAGCCACGGCTGAGAAGCTTCTAAGCACAGCGAAGTTGAAGGAGATAAGTGGCAATGACATATTTGCAGATGCAAAGGCTCAGTCTCGTGACTACTTTGGCGGCGTTCGTAAACCACCGGGCGGAGAAAGCAGCATTGCATTGGTCTAAACCCACTCTACCAATAATAATTATATAGCCCAAGATTAAAATTCTCTACAAAAACTTAGAAGGTTCTAACTATTTATCTTCATTAATAGATAATGTACTTTTGGATGTTTTTTTATTTCTATGTTTCCGGATTTGTGTGATTGAATGGTTATGAAATGATCGAGATAGGCAAAATCGATGGGAGATTGTTACCGGAAAGCTAATCTGGTCTCTTTGGACTTTGTGGAGTTTATTTGTTTTTGTGAGTTCAGACTTTAATTATGACTCATTGTTTGGGTCTGTCTCTGCATTTGTTGGGTACTTGATTGATTCTATTGATTATTTTGGGGCTAATCTGTTATTTAAGAAAAAAGATTGTAGACCGTTTCTGCAAAAGCTGTCTTACACGTTTGGTGCAGTGGGTAGGACTGAGAGCAGATACATAAGATTGGGAAGTCTGTTTCTTTTTTGGAAAGGAACCTTTGGCCCTGGTCTGTCCCAAATGAGAAATATATGTATATAATGACATTTTGAAAAATTTTGTTGCTTTAATAATTCTGTATTTTATGAAAATTACTTTGTTGTATCTTTTTAGTATGGAGTAGTATTTCATAGGGAGTCAAACTTAAACTGCACAAAATTAAAACTGGGTATGGAAAGCAAAACTTTGGAAATGCGGGTAAATATTTCAAAAGTGTAATTTTTTTTTTTTTGAAATGTTAAATTTGTTAATCAACAAAAGAAAAAAAATACAAAGACTTTGGGATATCTTGGTTTGATTTGGAACTAGTTAGGGAACCAAAATCAAAACCTTACAAAAAAGATTAAAAGGGTGGCTGAAAATCAAAAGAGAAAGAGAGAGAGTAGTGGTTACTAAACTCTGTTTTCGACAATACATATCTAGTACTACTTATTAAATAGTTCAACTAAAAATAATTTATATCACTCTTCAAATTTCTTAGGGTTAAGTGAATAAAATTTTGAGAAATTTTGGTAAATGGCAAGATTTTAAACATTAAATAGTTATACACTAAACTATTTCCATGTGAATTACTATACAAGTTAATCTAAATTTAAATTTATTACATGAACGTTAAAAATACGGTCGAAATCATGCATATGATGTTTTTTTTTTTTTGTCAACCACACATTAATTAATAAATAGCTCCTTGATTGGTTGCCCAATTAGGAGGAGAAGTGTTTACAAAAGAAACTTCAGAAAGTAAAAGTCTAGAAGAACGGGCTAAACAGTCCGCTTTAACTTTACATAAACGAGAAATAAGAGAAAGCGAGAACAAGGGAAAGTAGACATGGAGCAAACCAAACTCATCTAGCAGGTTGGAGAAAACGGGCCAATCTTCAGGTGACTGTATCATCGAGACTAACTCCGAACAATCTGTTTCAAACACCTGACAATCTATCCTTCTTGAAAGGATATTCTTCATAGCCCAAATTAAAGCTTCCATCTCCGAATGAAGGGGGGAGGGACATCTCCGAAGGCACTTTGCACCGAGCAGAATTGTTTGGTCGATTCCTTGAAAACACCACCATCCTATACCCATAGTTGGATCCGAATATTTCCAAGAACCATCAATTCGACATCTTATTGATTGAACTGGGTTTTCCAGAACTTTCGTAGTAGAGATAGTTTCGACCGTTTCCAATTGAGCTTCTTCCCACATTAATTTAACGACATTAGTGAACCGTTAACAACATGTTGATTAGGATTTCTTCCTCCACATCAAAATTTATGATTGATTGATTGATTCAGGTAAAAACAGTTCAATAAATTTGTCAAAAGTTTGTGTAAACTTGAAGTTTTAAAAATACTTATAAAAATCGATTCTTATTATTTTATAAGGTTTGAAGAAGTTTTTTCAAATTTTATAAGAATTTATAAAGATGTTTAAAAAAATCTCAAATCATATCTTTTCCTCTAAACAAAGTCTTCTCAAACTCATAAAAACTTATACTAGAACTGCAAAATTTCAAATATCATGAAGCAAAACAAATTTGATTGATTGAATCACGTCAAAAAATAACTTCAATAAATTTGGTGAAGATTTTTGTAAATTTAATAATTTGAGTATATCAATGATATTGATTTATTGTTATGTGAGCATTATAATGATGCTTAGGTTGCTGAGATTTGCAACCTAGATTACTTTATGGCTACTATTCCACATTTGCGTAGAAATATATGAGAGTGTGATTAATTTTATCTTGACTATTGTTTCATAACAGCCATATGCATTATTATTGTAAACATTAATTTCCTATAAAGTAAAATCTTAAGTTAAAAGTTTATTTTGCTTGTTTCATACTTGGATTTCCTATATTACATTGTTGTTGCATGATGACATAACTCGAACTCCTTTAAATGTTCTTCGAAGTGCATCTATTTCAAATTTTGTAAATTATAAAATTTAGTGGGTATTTAAACGGATATTAGAAAACTTAATAATTTTTAAGGTTTTATAAGTGTGCTTATAAATATTAAAACTGTATTTTAATAAGATTTGATAAATGGGCATTATAGTTTTGTTTTACAAAGTTTTCGAAAGACTTGTAAAACTCAATTTTTTTTTAATTTCATAAGGTTTGAAAAAGTTTTATAAAATTTATAAAGTTGTTTATAAAAATCTCAAACCATATCCTCTTTCTCTAAATGAAATAGTCTTCTCAACTCTCAAATTCTTACACTAAAACTGCAAAAATTTAAAGAACGTAAAGCAAAAAAAATTTAATTGATTGAATCATGTAAAAAAATCAGTTCAACAAATTTGTTGAAGATTTGTGTAAATTTGAATCTTTTATATTGATAATGTTACTTATGTAGTATATCAATGGTATCGCGTTGATGTTATGTGAGCATTACGAGGATGCTTTAGAAAAATGATAATTCAAATTTTACTTGTTTGATGGATAACCACATGAGAAATATGGGCAAAGATAAGATTTTTCCTAAAGAACCTATCAACGTATATGAATTAAATCTTTGTTAGTGTTACTAATGCAATATATCAATGATATTTCTTTGCTCTTATATGAGCATTACGATGATGCTTAGAAAAAATGATAATTCAAACTTTACTTGTTTGATGATAATCACATGAGAAATATGGGTAGAGATATGATTTTTCCTAAAGAACTTATCAACAGTGTCGCTCACACTATATAAAAAGGACATACTGCAAACCAATATATCGAACTGACATGACAAAGGTTTGGAAAAGATATGGACAATTTTTTTCAAAGAGATAAATAGTGTATGTTATATTCTATGAACATATGGCTAAAACTTTTCTATTCTATGAACATATCACTAATACTTTTCTATTCTATGAACGTATGGCTGCTACTATTCTATTCTATGAATGTATGGTTGATACTGTTATATTCTTTGAACGTATGCATAATACTGTTCTATTCTATGAACATATGGTTGATATTGTTCTATTTTATGAACGTATGGATGTCTGAGAACGTTCTAGTGAGGGTATTTTGGGTATTTTTAGTCTATGTTTGTTTGTCCTAGGTTTTTTTTTGTTATTGTATGTATTTGTTGTAGTCGCTTCTCTGAATTATCGAACATGGAGAGGTAGAGCGAGACATTGAGAGAACGTGTAACTCCTGAATTTCTTTGATCTTAGTGAAATCTAGAGCAGCAGAAAGTGGATGTAGCTCTCACATTGAAGGTGAACGACTATAAATGTTGTCTGCACTTTACTTTTTGCTTTAATTTGTGTTCTTGAAGACGAATTTGATCCGTAATTCTTAACAAATACTAGTAAAAATCTTCTAAAGAGTCATCACTAAAAATTTTCATATTCAGTTCAATAAAAAAAGTTTCAGTAGGAACCATTACCAAGTGAAGAAGACAACAGAAAAATATAGTCAAAGTATATATCGATAGAAAGTGAATCTATACCTTACAAAGAAATCAAAAGGAGCTAGTATCTATAAGATCTTTAGTTTTTTGTAAGGAGGAAAGAAAAAAAGAAAATCCAAAAAGATTATATAAAAGAAAAAAATTACTAGCTACCAAAGTCATAATTATGGAGAAGACCAATAATTGTATCACGTTTTCTAATTTAGAGTCTTTTCTTTGAAAAATAAATTATTGATATGATAGATGAAAGAAGTGACTAAATTGATAAAACAAATACAACAGAAAAATATAATATTATGTGTTTAACCTATTTTAAAAAACCCCCAAAAATGATCGAAAAAAGAAGTGACAAAAATAAAGATTATGGTTTCGAATGGTAAAAGCAGTTCAAGCATTGTAGATCATGTAGAAAATGCCGGACATGTGCAGATCATGTAGGACAAGTGCAGATCATGCAGATCAAGCAGTTCAAATATGATTTCGAATTGTGAAAGCGGTTCAACATGTGCTGATCAAATTATTAAATAATACAAAGTATTTTAGTTTATTGTTGATTTTATTCTATATAATTTTATAATATATTATAGTATGTATAAATAAAATTATATAAAACTAAAATATATTAATCTATTAAATAATAATAAAATATTAAACATAAAATATCCAAATACAATACATAAGAGTAAAAAAAGAAGACAATACATAAGCAAAAACAAATTAAATTTAATGAAAAATATTTTGATTTGCCCATAACATATCAACAATATTTTTTCTTATATTTACCATATGATTTCCATGAGGTATACCACCTCTCTCCATGTCATCTAGATCATTCTCAGAATTTACGTTGCTGGTAAGCACACTGTCATATAAGAAATATCTTTGGAGATTAACAGTTTTACATTTTGTTTATTAATACACAAACAATTAAAATTATAAGAATTATTTTATATATTTAAATAAAATTTAAAAATTTATTTATAATAAAATAACATACATAAAGTTGATTTACTAATTTGTTTAGTTTCTATATAAAATCTTGAAGAAAAAATTTGGATATAAATATAAACTACACAATCATAAAAAATTATAAAAGATAACTTTATACTACACAAAAATAAATAAATGCTATAATATTTACATTATATTACATTGTAAACAAAAAAAACAAGCAACGTAAAAAGCAAGAGGGAGAGCAAAATAGTCATCTTTTTTGTAGTGTGAGTGTAATGTATGAACAAAAGAGTTTTTGTTCTTTTATAGAAGAAAAAGGATACTATTTAATTTTTTTATATATAAAAATATATGGACTACCGTTGAACCACTTCCACTAGCGTATGAGAGAGAACTGTCTCATTTGGCTTGCATTCATCACAAAAAGACAAAAAAGTTATATG